TTGTCAACTGCCAGACCAGAATCTTTTTTTCTCTCATCAAATTGGGGATCAGAATATGATCAGAATAGGCCTCCAGATTTCTTTTGGAAAATTTGGTGTTCACCCCAAGAACCGGGTTGGCCACAACATAACAATTTCAATTTTATTTACAATTTACACGGTGTGCATATGTTTAAGTATGTTTAAATGAAGATATTTGCATATAGTTTAGGACTTTATTCATTATAGGTTGAAAAATACAGGCAAAGTTCAGATGTTTATGAAGTGTTATATATTTTGACTTTTGTGAAACCTTAACAGAATAGACAATTGGGGCAAATCTGATGAAAAAAAAACCGAAAATTCCTAGTAACAAAAAATTAACCCACATAACAGCAATTGAAATCTCCTCCCCAAGAAATTGTACCTCAGGACCTGTATAATGCTGGAAGTATTTTAATATGCCTTTGGAACACCCTTTTAAAAAATTGGGTATGGTTCTCCAGGCCACGGCTTAGGTAGCACTTCACAGTTAGAAAATAAAATTAAAATTGAGCCACAGAATGTCTGATAATCTTCCAATCCTGGCCTTCAAATACATTAGGCCAACTGTACTAGCACCCCCTTTTTTCTGAGAAACCCTGGCTAGCACACCCTTCCTTTTTTCACAGTGTCTGGATCCGCCCCTGACCGATACGTAGTACTCAACTATGATCAACTGTAGGTCATAATAAAGGACGAAATACGTAACGTAAATTAATTCAAGCGTGAGGGGCCCCCATATATCACGGCTAAAATTGTACTTAGTTTGTCCTTTTATACAACCTTTTGGCAAGTACCACCAACCGAGAAATCAGTTACCACGATCTTTCAAAATTAACATGAACAGTAACCATCATCAACGTCCTTTTTTTTTCACTCTCTCTATTTTCTAAGTAATGTACAACTGTTTACGCTTGTCAGCAGTGTTTATCATTGTTTTCATTAGTTTACAAGTTGTGACCTTCGAAATTGTTTTATTCAATGTTCCTATAGATTTTTATGGTAACTCCCTGTGCCCCTAAAAAACAAACAAAATAAAGTTTCCCTCCCACAAAATTTTACACTTAAACGTTGATTTGAAAAAAAAACTTGATTTTATAATTTTGGTTATCAATTGAAATGAACCTTCTAGAGCCTCAACCTAACGCGCACAATAATGTCAATCATTACACATCAAATTTAACCCTAAATTGACATTCCACAATCGGTCAGTAACATCACCTGTGTTTATAGCTACATGATGTTTCCCGCCGTTGGAAGATCTCGTGCAGTGACACAATTGATAAAATCTATTTTTAACATCTCTATTGTGAGCGAAATTTTTGACGTGCATTATTTCATTATTAAAAATGTTCGATCTACATTTGTTGCAGTCTAAAATTTAATTAACAGAAACGTAATATCATTTCTTTTTCTTTGGCAATTATAGTAAATTAATCTCATCCCGGAATGTATATTCACTTTACCATTAGACCTGAAAGTGATTTCTAATAAATGAAGAAACTGTGTTTCACATTAAAAAATTTAAGAATATTATCGCTCAGGCATATTTATTTTATTTTAAGATGATTGATTGTTGGTTGCTTAACTTTCAGTGGCAAATATTCCATGCAAGTCCGGACAAACTTAGTTTTAAGATTGCACTTTCAAAAATCATTGTAAAACAAAAATGATCAGAAGAACTTTTATTCATGTGAAATAACCGTCCAATCTTTTAAAAAGAACTTATTTACATTTCAAAGTGTAACAGATTAGTTTACAAGACAGGCATTGACGTTAAATATACAATTCCTTGTATCATAGATATAATGGCTATTATATCTATGCTTGTATACATGTACGTAACTTTCATATCTTTTAAATTGAACTTTTTTGTCTAAAAAGACAACCCACGAGTTTGCGAAATCGAGTTTGAATGCACTGCATTGTGTGTAAATACATATACATATTATGCAACGACGGTCTGACTCTATGTATTACCAGGGTTGCGTTCAATATCGTAGCGGCTACGTAGTGCTATGTAGATTTTTACTATTGAACGTGTAGCTATAGATAAGCTGCTACATAGATATTGATAGCAACTACATAGCCGCTACGTAGCTGCTACGATATTGAACTCAACCCAGTTGACCCCTGATACCAACTAAGGTTACTAAAGACTTTCCCCTGGCCGTTCATTTAATTTTTGTTTCAATAAACGGTTCTAGAAGCAATTAAATGATCTGCGGCCTCTGACATATAATTAAAAAAAGTAACCATCTAATCCCCAGATATATATTAAACTGTTTCTCTCTAAATTTACAGAAACATTATATGATATATTTTTGAAAATTCATTATATCTCAAATGATTATAGTTACTTTGTTTTTAATTCTGTAAACATCTATATATCATAATTTGTACCACACTACAAGGATCTATTAATAACCGTCGCTCACGCATAACGGATTATACAACGACCTATTAATAACCGTCGCTCACGCATCAGTGATTCTATCAATGACTCAATACACACCAGTTTTATCGGACAAACGGCTAATTCCCGCCGACACGGAAAATCTCCGGATAACATGCAAAATATCCTGTAATACAGCAAATTTACGATGAACCTCTAATTTTTATCCGTTTCGCGGAGATTAGCCAAAAAACACCGGAGTTTTTACAAAAATCGCGGTGATTTTCCAAATAGGTCTGCCAGTGTATGAAACAATAAAAATACAATAGCACAAAATGTTCTATTCGAACTGGACTACTTTTAGTGGATACCAATTTTCGTTTTTTTTAAATTAAAAATTATGTTTTTGTGGATATTTAATTTTGTGGTTTTGCCAAGTCTGCACAGAAGCTTATAGAAAAATTGTACTTTGTCAAGGATGTTTGCTACTCTTGTTTCAAAATAACAAGCCTTTTAAAAGACAGTTACAAATTGAAAGTATATGAATAAAGGAACTAAAAAAGCAGAAAAATTGAAGAAGAGTCTGTGTGCTTGTTTTCGAGATATAAGCCATAGAAAATTTGGCAGGAAGTGATTTTCTCTAGATTTTTCATACATATATCATTGGCACCTTTTTCCTTCAAAAACTATGAAAAAATAAAGATTTTATAAGATTTTGGAAAATGGCTTTTTATACGCCCGTCAAATTTTTGACGGAACGTATTATGGTATACAAATGTCCGGCGTCCGTCCGTCTGTCTGTCCGTCTGTCTGTCTGTCTGTCTGTCCGTCTGTCTGTCCAGCGTAAACATGTCGCACCGTAACTTGAGAATGACTTATCCAAATTTCATGAAACTGAACATAGTTGTTTCTTATGATGGTCAAACGATCTGTATACTTTTTGGTGAAAATAAGATTAAACTTTTTGAGTTACGGGACTTAGTAACTAAAACAGGTGTGTGTTTTTTTTTCACATGTCGCACCGTATCTCAAAAACAATTTATGATTATTGCTTAAAATTTTACACACTTCTTAGTTATATTAATCTTAAGATCTGTATACTTTTTGGTGATGATTCAAAATTTTATTTTTGAGTTATTGAGTATTTTGTAAAAAAAGGGGGAGGGGTTTTCACATGTTGCGCTGTATCTCAAAAACGATTTATGATTATTGCTTAAAATTTTACACACTTCTTAGTTATATTAATCTAAAGATCTGTATACTTTTTGGTTTTGATTCAAAATTTTATTTTTGAGATATTGATTTTTTTTTTTTTAAAAGGGGGGTTTTCACATGTCGCGCCGTATCTCAAAAACGATTTATGATTATTGCTTTAAATTTTACACACTTCTTAGTTATATTAATCTAAAGATCTGTATACTTTTTGGTTTTGATTCAAAATTTTATTTTAGAGTTATTGAGTTTTTTGTAAAAAAAAAAGGTGGTTTTCGCATGTCACGCGGTATGTCAGAAACTATTTATGCTTATTGCATAAAAATTCACACACAAGACGACGGGCGTATCATGCGCTCAAGGCGCAGCTGTTTGTTAAAACTATATGTAATAAAATTGAGAAAAAAAGTAGGGGTTTGCGGGCAAAATGTTTAATGGCACAACATGGATAAAACCAGAGGATTCCGAATATCTGGCAAAAAATCAAAAACAAGAGGAGCAAACATCCTTGGTTTCCTTAAAAGAAATTTAAATATAGGATCAACTACAGTGAAGGAGAATGCCTACAAAACATTGGTACGTCCAATTGTAGAATATGCCAGTCCAGTATGGGATCCATACCTTAAGATAGAGACTGACAGACTTGAGATGGTACAAAGAAGAGGAGCTCGCTACGTATCTAACAAACATCATAACCACTCCAGCGTTAACATGATGCTACAACATCTCAAATGGACATCCCTGGAACAAAGAAGGAAAGAAGCGAGACTCACAATGCTCTACAAAATAGAAAACAACAAAGTGGCCATGTCAAAGGAAGGTCGTCTAATACCACCAAAAAGACTGACACGAAACATGCATGATAAATCCTTCCAAGTACCATCAGCATCCTGTGATTACCGCAAACACTCATTCTTCCCAAGAACCATCCGGGATTGGAACGCTCTTCCTCCTGGGGTCGTATCAGCACCGTCAGTCGAGGCCTTTAAAGCCTCGATGACAAAGCTGAATTAAATTTTAAAATTTTGGGGGGAGGGGGGTGGTCTTATATGCGCACCAAACCATGGCAGTATAATCAGTTTGTTGATTGTGGCCATTATCTTATCTGGCAGAAGCAGAAGCAGAAGCTTAAAACATTTGAATTTGTGGTTAACCTTTAAAATTGGTATCCCCGGAATAATAATGAATCCACAGTATTAAAACTGAAAAGCAATCCAATTGTAGTTTTAATCTATCAAGGTAGTGGCTAGCAATAAGGCCAAAAGGTTAAAAGTCAAATTTAGAGTATCACATAATGAAACATAAAGAAATAATATTCATGCTTTTTTAATTGTTAAGACTATTGGTACTAAATGTTCTTCATGTTTTACAGGTTATGAATTATCAAAGTGTGAAGGAAAAACTGGTTCCCCAGAGAAACCTCTATCTGATCTTGGTTTGCTATCATACAGAAGTTACTGGTCCCAGACAATTTTAGAAATACTCATAGGTCTGAAACCAACAGATGGAAATGAAACTCCTATTATAACAATCAAGTAAGTCAAATTTTCATAACTTCAAGGCTTTCTGGATTTTGCTGTAAAATGTGAGTTCTTCAACTCATTGTTGACTGAAGCAAAGCTGAAATCTATACATTTTTATCCCCCCGCCATAAAGGAGGGGCATTAAGTTTTACCCTTGTCCGTTTGGACGTCTGTACATCTGTATGTCTGTACGTCCCAAAATTGGTTTCCCTTCTCTAACCTTAGTTTTCCTCAACCAAATTTTATGAAACTTATACACAATGCTTATTACCACAAAACACAGATCAAGTTTGAATTTTGGTGGCGTCACTTTTACCCGTCTAGAGTTATGCCCCTTTTCAAACCTAAAAATTGCTGAATTTTTAATTTCCGTTCTTTAACTTAAGTTTGCCTCAACCAAATGTTATGAAACTTATACACAATGCTTATTACCAAAAAACTGAGATCAAGTACGAATTTGGGTAGCGTTACTTTTACTGTGCTTGTGTTATGTCCCTTTTTAATGTTATATGCAAGCAGGGGCATCATCTGTGTCCCATGGACACATTGCCCATTTATTTTTACAGTCAAAGCTAAGGGATCACCTCTAATTAACAGTTGTCTTCATCTAACTCAATTTGAAATCCAATCAGTGGTCACCTATTTTCCTACAAAACTGCTGTCCTCTTTCACAAGAGATGAAATACTAATACAAGTATATATATATACATATATATGAGTTTTTGATTGAATCTAAAAGGGAAAAAAAATATTTCAGAATAGTCGTTTGAAAATTAACATGATTAAAACATTTTCCTTTGGAACTACTGAGGAGAACTTGAGTAGATTATTGATGCTTTTGTATTGATTTTGCAGTGAGATCTCAGAATTAACCAGTATAAAGAAAGAAGATGTGATATCAACGTTACAACATTTAAACCTCATAAACTATTATAAAGGACAATATATTGTGACATTAGCTAAGGAACACATGGACACGCATAATAAAGCCATACAGAAACGCAAAATTAGGATTGATTCTAAATGTTTACATTGGCAACCGAAAGACTGGAGTAAACGGGGCAAGTGGTGAATAGAGTTATCTCCCATGTATTGTGTTCAATATTGTATGGCAAGCATAGAGAACAAATATTTTAGATCTGAAATTTTTGTTGAAGTGAAAGAATGTCTATTATACTTAAAAATGTGATTTTTCAGTTGAAGGCAGCAATGGATTTGTTCAGACAGACAATTTACAAATGGCTGTTTCCATGGATACAGTATGGTATTAGTTGAAACAAGTGTTGTAAGAAAATATTCTTGTGACATAATAACTAATAAAAATGAATAATAAGAATTTATATTTTCTTTTTTAATATTGCATAAATGGCAAACATTCATACTGTGAAAATATTTTTATGTCTTGTGAAAGAGTAGTAAGGGGCATGATATTTTTTCTGTTTTATGCATCCATTCATGATTCCTTATAGATTTAAAGGTTTGGTTCAAGGTAGTTTGTGGTCAACTGGTCACATCAACTTTAAACTAAGTACACATGTCATAATCAAATGTACTGTTTACTTTATACGTGTATGTCAAACTAGGGTTTTGACACTGATTTTATGGTTCACTGAAGGTTGCACTTTGTAAATACAGCTGTTTCTCAAACCACGCCTCTTTTGGGGAGATATTTAATATTCATAGGTATGTTAATTTGTTAACGTACTGGTTCCCATTGATGATCTCTGTGTTTCATCTCATAGAGACATCACTTGGGAATGTAACCAGTATAGATAAACATGGTAGCGGCTAAATTTTAATTCTTAGGAGGTCCAAAAATGGAGGTAAGGGTAGTATAGAATTTTAGTATAAGTTTAAACTCTTAGAAGTTCAGGGCATATAAATGTTGAAAATATGCCGCACAGCCCTATATTTTGACCTTTGAATAAAATAGTAGTGCATATAAACTTTCCGTTCTGGGATATTATTTTTCACGAAACTTCATAGTAAAAGTGTCACAGTTTTAGCCGCAAAGGGAGTTCCTATGGGAAATTGCATTGTCTGTATTTACAGAATTGCAACCTATATAGGGTTAAAAAATAGAACATACAGAATTTCACAAAATCTGGTTTATCTCAGAGATTTTAAAGAATTTAACTCAAATATGAAGTTTTATAAATATTTCATGAAGATTGAGAAAATCCTGGGCCTTAACTATGATGACTCAGCATAAATTCACAGTTTAAAGTATGCATGGTTTACTTAAAGCCCTGAATTCAAAATAAATTCATAATATATGCCTATTTGTAATTTAAATTGTTTAGAAGTGCTTATATTTACTCTTCGCAGTAATTGCAACTCATTGATCCTTCCTAAATATTTCTGGTGGGGTGTTTTTGTCCTGTCGATAACCCAAAAGTAAGCCGTAACGCCTAAATGTGCTTTTTTGTGACTGCGGCATAAAAAAGTACAAGCTAGAATTACAAAAAGACCTCAGTAAAACTTACAATAGTGTGTTCTATCCTTAATATGTAGTAAATATTTCACATTGCTAGAAACAGGGAAAAAAATTAGGAAATGTGAGGCCCCAGGGGCAAAAAACAGAGGAAAATGCCTACCCCTGAGTCATAAAACAGATAATTTAACTTGTAAATGCTATGATTTTTTTATTTTAAAGGTCTTTTATAAAGTAAACAATAACTGTGCTAGGAAGTTATGCAAAAATCAGATGTAAGCAGTCATTTCAATGAAACTTTTAGTGAATTTATGCACCAGACTGATATCTTCATGAATACAACTTTTGCAAATATGCCTTTGTTTAAACACTTCTAGGACATATATTAACTAACTTATGTTAGATATATGGTTAGGGATGATACTGTTGTGACAAGAATTCTAAACTGACCATTTGAGGCAGAAATTGTGAACTTTCATTGACAAATAGGCATACAGTAAGATGTGGACTGGAGACACAGGCAGGATTTGATACTTTGTATAATCTTGAATGTTGGAATGCTTAACTACTAAACAAAACATTTATAGTATTCTAAAATGCTTTCAATTTGTTATCAGAATAGTTTCAAACAGGTTTTAGACAGTTCATGTCAGAAAACATGCACATAGGGTAAGCTGGCAATAATTAGAGTCTTGTTTTCAAAATCTTTAAAAAATTGAAACAGGGGTAGGGGTATAAAATGTACTGTAAAAGGAGACTTAGAGTATATGCAGTGATTTCTTTAAGGCTATAATTCTGATAAATAAGTATTGTTGTGAGAAAAAGTGTTTTTAGAGAGTTTTCTATTTGAATAAATGTTTGTATAGGTTGCACTTTGTAAATACAGCTGTTTCTCAAACCACGCCTCTTTTGGGGAGATATTTAATATTCATAGGTATGTTAATTTGTTAAGGTACTGGTTCCCATTGATGATCTCTGTGTTTCATCTCATAGAGACATCACTTGGGAATGTAACCAGTATAGATAAACATGGTAGCGGCTAAATTTTAATTCTTAGGAGGTCCAAAAATGGAGGTAAGGGTAGTATAGAATTTTAGTATAAGTTTAAACTCTTAGAAGTTCAGGGCATATAAATGTTGAAAATATGCCGCACAGCCCTATATTTTGACCTTTGAATAAAATAGTAGTGCATATAAACTTTCCGTTCTGGGATATTATTTTTCACGAAACTTCATAGTAAAAGTGTCACAGTTTTAGCCGCAAAGGGAGTTCCTATGGGAAATTGCATTGTCTGTATTTACAGAATTGCAACCTGAACATTGAAATGTGATAGTGTGAGTGGGGTATAGTGTTCCTATAGACACATATGTTCTTGTTTCTATGCAGGTTCCAATTTTTATGGTTTAAGGAAAGATCACTGGTGCATTGGTGTTGAATTTGTAGGAAATTAATGTCTGTTGGATTTTAAAATTTAAAGTTTTGATTACATCAAAAAGTGTTTTAAATGTAAAATATATATGAAAAATATATATTTGAAGTATAAATATGTATACTGTATAAAATAATACTTACACAGTCAGAAATTGAAAGATGAATGACAAAATCAATGAAAATTCAATTTAAATAAACAGATCAGCAGTTTATTCTGTATGATTTACAGTCTGGGATATTCATATGTACCGCATACAAAAATGTTATAACACACAAATAAACAATAAAACAGCAAAAATACTGTAGACAAGAAAATAATTGCGTAATTTTTATTGCCAAAAAATGTATGTACTTGATAAGACGATCATATGAAAGATATAATTATAGAATAATTTGTCCAAGAATTTAAATATAGAAAAATATTCTTCAGGTGACTGATCAATACTAACATCAGACTAGTACTTCTTTTAAATTGAGTTTTAATGTGTGTATTCCTATGTGTTGGTTTATGCTACATTGGCTAGAGGTAAAGGGGAGGGTTGAGATCTCACAAAATTTGTTTTACCCTGCCACTTTTTTGCGCCTGTCCCAAGTCGGGAACCTCTAGCCTTTGTTAGTCTTGTATGTTTTTTTTAATTTTGGCTCATTTATAAGTTTCGGAGTTTAGTGTGACGTCCATTTTTCGCTGAACTAGTATATATTATTGCTTAACGGCCAGCTGATTTTCTCGCTGTATTGAAGACCCATTGGTGGCCTTGGGCTGTTTTCTGCTCTTTGGTCGGGTTGTTGTCTCTTTGACACATTCCCCGTTTCCATTCTCAATTTAATAATACATATAAAACTCAGGAATGCTAGTACAAATGTAGCAAATTAGTGAATTATAAGTGATGTTGGTTCACGAGTTGAGTTTTTGGGACATTTTATTTTTTGATTCCATTTTCTTTTTATAACATTGACTTTGGATATGTTTAATGGAAATACAGTAGAAAATGCAACCAATGTAATTATGTATTTGAAACTAATATATATCTGTATATTTCCATGACAATTTCAATGCAAATATCTTTTTTCTGTTTAAATCATAATCTAATTATACCTTGATTAATAATCCAGATAGTTATTTATGTAAGAGATTCAAGGATAAACATTTCAACATTACATTCTAGAAAACAGTCATTTGAGATTATACATGTATGCAGGATCAAAAGTTAATCTTAATTTTGTACTTATTGTGATTTTATTTTTAACATTTTAATTTCTCTGTATCATTCATTGGGAATCATCAAATATAAATTCTTCTGCACTTTTATGCGTTTTTGATGATAATGATGTATACATCCCAATATGATAAAACAAATTTGGTTCAATTTGATAAGCAGGGATACCAGTTTGTTTAATAAATGTATGGAGAGCCAAATCTGTATGCAAATCTTTGTAATGAGTTTCAAGAAAGTTTATCACTTGAGGTATAAATTTACTAGAAAACAACATGGCTGGTGTACAGCAGCCAGGGGTAGGTCTCAAAGTATAAAAATGTTTAGATGAACTGAAAAATTCTAATACATTTGGTCTCCCTATGGTTAACACTACCAGTACAAATAACCATGCACCATATAAAAAATATGCAACTCGTATAAAATTTGATCTAGATTTACACATCATTAAATTGATAGCAACCAAAGTGCTGCCCCCTATACATCCTATACATAATATTTCTGATACTCTTGCTAATTCAAAACCATATCCTTGCCATTTTGGAGGATAAAACAGTTTTATGTAGGCAAATTCTGCATTCAGAGTACTGGTAGATTTCCTTTTCAAATATTGCAATTTATGATGAATAATTTCTAAAGCATTTGACCTTGGTATTGAGTCATCTTCAATCATCAGCACGTACTTTGGGCGGAGAGAATGTGCAGTTTCTAAACAGTACATGTAATCAACTGTTTCTTTGTAGTAACTGTTTGGATAAATTTTAGTACCGTACAAAAACCTCCTCTTGAAATCAAAAGTAATTGGCAATGAAGACAACCCATATCTTTGAATTACTGGGATTCTGGATTTTAATTTCACAACTTCGGTGTAATTCTGAGGAAACACATCTACATTACATATCATCATAATTTTTTTGGGGAAGATTTTATCCTGAACAAACATTTTATGAGTAGCCGCTATGGTCTGCAAGATGTATCCAGATTTATCATAATCTTGATTTGTTCTATTGACGGTCACTATGACAACAGCTAGTTCCGTTTCTCCAATATATCCAGGCAATAAGGTTTCATTGATTGTTGCCAAATATTGCTTTGCCTTTGCCAAACGTTGATCGTTCAGTGTATCAGCCCATGATTTTATTGAGTTTTCTCCATGGAATAAAGTAAATACCATAGAAAATGGTTTATTCCAGCTATAAAATACCACAACAGGTAGAATGACTGAGAAACTTAGCAGAAACAATAACATGTGCAGCAGAAGTTTTGATAAAACGGCCATTGTTGTTTTCTTCTGTCCATAACTTTATAAGCAGTTGCCTAATCCATAGTTAGTAGTCAGGGAAAATCTGCAAAAATAAAAAAAAAAAAATTTGAACTGCAAGGATTTTTATGAATTAACAGTAAACATTTTATCCTGCCATACTTTAAGTACATGGTATTTTCCCCAGAGCAAATGTATAGAAGACTGCTCATGCATCCATTATTAAATAATGGAAAACATATATATTCAAATTTTGTAATTTTAAAGCTCATTTATATGACACAATTTAACTACTGTAAATTCAGAAATTATTGCGATGTTTTTATTATTGCGAAAAATGCAACAGGGTTATATTCGCAATAATTTAAACTCGCATTTTGAAATTTTTTATTTGAATTAAGCAGGATTTTTCTCAATATCGCAAAAATTTAAATCGCAATTTAGTCTAAAATGACAAAATCGCAATAATAAATGCACGCAATAATTTCTGAATTTACAGTATGTTTACTCAACCACTAGACTCCGAGAGCACAAGTTAGGAATTCAGATGTTTTATATGCGGTATGCTAATGGATGGATGGATCGATACCCCATATCCTTTGTTTTCTATTAGTGTTTTTCTTATTGGAAATGGTTTGGAATGAGAGGAATATGCTAGATTTAGATTGTTGCTCAAATGAATCGAAGCTTACACAAACATCAATCAACTAGCAAGGAGTCAAATTTAATTTTTGCCCTATTACTTTTATGAATAATAGATGGTGGTTAATGAGACAACTCAAAAGCACAATAAGACTCTGAAAACCACTCTCTTAAGCCTTGCTTTAATTTTGCAAAACCTAAAAATAAAAGAACATTTATAAATACACATTTTTGGAGATGAATCTCAGACTTCTTTTTTTAAGTATTGCATGCATTTAGTTTAAACACGTTTTATCTGCCAAACTGCATAGGGAGTTGGACTTCGAAATGACAGTATTAGACATACTCCCTCAATACAGTTGCGTAGCAACGTGGTTATATTCTGGTTACTTTAATAACTAGTATTAGCAAAGACGACCACAGTTAAAGTCCAGTTAAATCATTAATTTCATGTCTAAAACTGTTATTTCAAAATTAACACAAAAAAGTAGAAGAGCGCTAACTAAGATTAAATTTGTTAAATGTTTTGAATCTGTAATTCAAAGCTCGCCTGTAGTGCTGGGGTTTCGTTGGTTCGATTATTGACCGGTCAAACCAGTGACCTTGAAATCGACATTTGCAGTTTCCATGTCAGGCACATTATTTCGGAGCCAGAATAACGTGTCCGGGTAGATTGGGTTTAAGAAATACAATTCACGGAAGTACTATATATAAAGAAGTAGGTTTTTTTCTGGAAAGCCTTTGATTAAAACCCAAAACTATCAGTTCTCCTTTTAAATTTCTCCAAGCCCTACGATGGCAGCCGGTAACATGGACCCCCCTTTTTTTCTTTGTTGCAGATATTTTCAATAGAAGTTCTTTACTATTTCAACTTAATTTCCTTTATCTAGTGTTTTCTTGCCATTACTAATACAATCTTACATTGTGGACCGTTTATAGATATGTGCAATCCCTCTACCCTGGTTTGTACTGAATATGCATCAAATATTTGCCACTAGACGTTAAGCAAGGTCACAGTTCATCAATGTATATACTCCTGAAAATATACAGCTTCCACGATAAGATTGTGTTCAAACAAGAAGACAATTAATACTGGCAAATAAGCTAAAATTAATTATAACAACGATTTTTTATATCGAACATATCTATATAAAAGAAAATAATAAAAATGGGTCCATTCCCCAAAGCTCTTTTATGGTAGCATAAGTAAGCATAAGGGGCATGCGCAGAACTTTGTAGAATTCCAGCGGAAAATTCTTTACATTAGTATTCTCGTTTAGAAACTTGAAACATAAACCATTTCTTAAAACACAAAAGAAATGTACATTCAGAAGGAACATGGTATATATACATTGTTAGCTGATATTTATAGAGAATGTTACCACAAAGACAACAATTTTGATTTTAGAAAAGGAGTTATTTAAGTTTGGATGATGGATCGACTGTTTTAATAGAAATTGAAACACTACTTAGTAATACATGTATATCTATGATTCCTTGAAGTTACAGTCTCTTCAAATTTTGCTATATATTTGGAGACAAGAAATTATTGACATTCAAAATTGCCAAAAAATATAAAGAAAATAAAGCGAACTATTTTTAACAAAATAGAAATGGGGAATATGTCAAAGAGACAACAACCCGACCAAAGAGCAGACAACAGCCGAAGGCCACCAATGGGTCTTCAATGCAGCGAGAAAATCCCGTATTCGGAGGTGGTCCTCAGCTGGCCCCTAAATAAAATTGTGTGCTAGTTCAGTGAAAATGGACGTCACACTAAACTCCAAAACATATAAATGAACTAAAATTAAAAAATATGCAAACTATAAATAAGGAAAGAATTTTGATGGATGATGGATGTATGGCTGTTTAACGTTCAGTGGAAAATTAAATACATATTCAGGACGAGAACATGATAATATGATATGAGTATAAGCCCTGCTTTGTACTTGACCGACACACTGGGCCAGATTTTTAACTTGCTAGTTCAAAATTAAGGTAAAAGTCCACACATGAAGACATGCCTGACATATTATTTTGACTCCGAACCGACCAGTCTTTACTCTTACTCCTAAATTCTGCGTGCTTAGCGGAGAAACAGAAAATACCTATTTTTAGTCTTTGGATTGACCCGGCCGGGGTTCGAACCCTTGACCTCTCACACTCACACCGAGGAGGACAGGTTATTTTTTTGTATATAATATAGATGAAAGAAATCAAACTAGATATAAACAAACATTCGTATTTACAGAAATGATTTATTATAATTTTTGTTGTGTTATTTTTGTCTCGCCTTGACGGAGTCAAAAAAGCGAGACATGTTCTTCTTCTTTAAGTTTCTAGCGATCCTTCAATTATTGAAGATTATTCGCCGGGCGTCGACTATAAAATTTTATAATTTACATTGTAGCAAGAAAAATAAAAAGAAACAAAATAAAAAAATAAAAATAATGTATGTACATTTGAAAAAAATTCATTTAGATAAAACTATATACATTTGATAACAAAATAGTTAGGGATAGAAAATGGGGATGAGAGCAGATTCTGAGATCATACTCTTGAATCCCTGTACTGTACTGCATGATACTATTTGTTGTGGCAGATGATTCCAGTTTATAACTGTTCATGGATAAAATGAATATTTATAACTGTCTTTAGATGTTTGTATTTGCCTAAATGAGTGTGGATTGCTATGTCTAGTTCTATTGTCTAGTGGGATCAAAAGGTTATATGTAGGGACTGAAACAATTTCGTGTATAATTTTGTAAAAGAAGACAAGTCTGTATCGTAAACGCCTAATTTCAAGTGGATACCAATTTAAGTCTGTCATCATTTCAGTAACTGAGCTGGTGTTATGGAAGCGGTTGCATGAGAAGCGCGCTGCTCTTCTCTGAACTTTTTCAATTTGTGAAATTTGCTGTTTTTGATGTGGATCCCAAATAGTTGAGCAGTACTCTAGTTTTGGTCGGACAAGAGCTTTAAATGCATGAGCTTTAACTTTAGATGAGGCTATTTTTAGGTTTCTACGAAAAAAATCCAAGAGACTGATTTACTTTTGATGTCATGTTATCGATATGTTTGTCCCATTTTAAATTTGATTGAAGAGTTAGGCCTAAATATTTTGTAGAGTCAACTTTTTCTAGAGAGTGATTGTGTAATTTATAAGTGAAGTCTAAAGGTTTGCGTTTTTGAGTTACACTGAGAATGTTGCACTTATCAGGGTGAAAATGCATGAGCCAGTCCTGCTCCCAACCGCCGGCCGCTTCCAAGTCAGACTGTAATGTATATGTGTCATCTGGTTTTTTAATTTCCCTATAAATAATACTGTCATCTGCAAACAATCTTAATGTACTATGTTCAATATATTCTGCTAAATCATTTATAAATATTAAGACATAGGTATGCTGTTTCCGCCGGCGGCGTCAACAATGTATTAGTTTGTGATTAGGTCAATTTATGTGGAACTACTAGTGGTAGGTCAATGATATTTGGTATGCAGTTGTATTAGCATTGGCACATCTCATTTCCGTGGAGATTACTTAGCCCTGCCTCCTTAGTCATGGTCCATTGACTTTGAAACTTTCACTATGCTTAACTTACATGCATTAGTTTGTGATTAGGTCAGTTTATGGTGAATCACTAGCGGTAGGTCAATGATATTTGGTATGCAGTTGTATTAGCATTGACAAGTCTCATTTCCATGGAGATTATGAGGCCCCTGACCCTCAATCATGCTCTATTGACTTTGAAACTTTTACTTATTTTACATGTATTAGTTTGTGATTAGGTCAGTTTATGGGGAACCACTAGTGGTAGGTCAATGATATTTGGTATGCAGTTGTATTAGCATTGGCACATCTCATTTCCATGGAGATTATGAGGCCACTGTCCCTCAATCATGGTCTATTGACTTTGAAACTTTTGCTTATTTTACATGTATTAGTTTGTGATTAGGTCAGTTTATTGGGAATTATGAGTGGTAGGCCAATGATATTTGCTATGTTGTATTAGCATTGGCAAACTCATTTTCATGGAGATTGTTTGGCCCTGTATCCTCAGTCATGGTTCATAGACTGTGAATACTTTGCATTACTTACATGTCAAAGTTTTGCTATTTTAATATCAACATTTACATTTTACTATTAAAATAACAAAACGGCGAGACATATCTCTGTGTTAACAGTTTATTTTCTTTCATATCATTTATATTTGCATCCAATTACATATACATGTATCTTTAGGGATATCTACTTAAATTCCCTTACTCTGTATAATGAATAATTAATATTTTATATTATGTAAAGGAAAAGACTTCAGAAGTTGTCTGATCCAACCTATATTTGTCTCTTTGAGCAGTTAAAATATTTTTGAATATTGACTTATATATAAATGTTAGTGTTAAAACCATCCAATATCAACCCTTGGTCCGTTTATATTGAACATGAATAAGACTGCGTTTAGCGAACATTCTATAAATAGATGCTGATTTTTTTTTTTAAATATTACGAATGGCTTCCCAATATGATTGAAATCAATATATAATAAACAAGGAAATGAATTTAGACTGTCTTACCTTGTCGCTTATTCCTAAGACTTTCATCAATCTACAATGGTGTAGTTATTCAAATTTCACTGTAAATTTACACCTGATTGAAGATCACACGAAACCTACAGTGTAACAGTATCCGTTAAATTTAATATATATGTACATTTGAATTATTAAAATTGGTAAAGTTAGTGAGGACAGTTATATGACGTGGCATTTGAGATGTTTGCTGTTCTCGTTAAATAAGTAAATAATCATCTTAAACTATTGAACGTCTTGAAAAATGTTCCATAATTTACAAAAACTAGTAAATACTATATGAGATAAGAAGAACTAGCTCGGGACACTTTTGTTCATCTCCCGTTACGGTCTAAGAACTGTATGACGTCGCCTGAGGGTTAAAATCATGAAATTCAAAAGTTGTGCTAATTTTGTTTGTTTGTTGTTTGTTCTTCATGTGTTGTTTACCTGTAAACTGTTGATATTTTTGCTCTTAAGGTAGATCAAAGTTAATGCCATATTATTATGTAACTAATCCAAGTATGAATACATTTACTGGTCTACTTCATTTCTGTAACCGTCTTAAGTGAAAAGGAAATGATCAATTTTCGTAAAAAAAATTATGAAATACTTCAATGAATACCAAATGTCTTTGATACCACACTATGTTTTATTGTTTTGTCTGTCCTGTCTCGCTATGTATTATCTTATGTTTGTAATTATATTATCCCCTTGTTCACCCGTATGTGCGCCTGCTGTTATGAATAAAATGTTGAAATCTGAATATTGACACCATCTCCCCCTTTTTGGGGTGAAAATCAAAGGCGCTTAAGGAGCCGTCGATATTTGTGTTTGTGCATATGAGTGTTCGAGTATTTTTTTTATATGCAACTGATTTTCCCTCAATCTATATTTGTTTTTTTTGTCTTTATCCATACAAACTTACAATAACTGTGGAAAATATTAGATGGGCATCGCAAAAGAACTACAGTTAATTTCAAGATTGGTGGATAAATAAGAGCAAGAAATTATAAAGAAATGAGAAACAAGTCGAGATATTTAAGAATATCTAATAAAAAAAATCTTGAATACACACATCATGAAAAGGTAGTTTGTGCCCCAAGCGCCTGTGATTAAATTGGACTACTTCAAAATCATTATTTAATCACACCTTAACTTAAACTTTCAAGAAAACTATTTTTACACTACTCAAAGTGAAAAAGGAAAAGTTAGAAGGACTTTTAGTTTTTTTCCTAGAAAATTTGAAAATTTAAGTTTTGAAGAATGATTATTTAAAACTGATCCATTTTCTCTTATATTGTTTCACGCATACGGGTCAACATTGGACCGTTAACGAAGCTGATGTACACTAGGCGTCGCTATAAAGGACCTATGTCACATTCTTACAAGATGTTTCCCAAACACGACAAAATCAAGATGTTGAAGAAAAGAAATTTTGAAAAAAATAATGTGGATTTAACATGTTTTATGTTTTTTATTTTGGTCAAGGCATAGCGATCCTACAGTTCGTTGTCAGCATCGGCGTCGTCCTCAACATTTTACATTAAGTCTGTTATCCAAGTTTTTGTCCTGACACAAACAACTTTGCCAAACCCTTATTGAAATTTGGAGAGGAACTTTTCTGTGATCGAAATCCCCATCCAGAGCGAAACATTCTTTTCTTCATAATTTTTGTTTGTCTATAGACAACATGATGTTTAAGTTTTTAAGATACCAATTAATTTGTCAAACATGGAATTTTTTAAAAGTTGAACAGAATCTTCTTCATATGACCAAGAGGAGTATCTGGGACATAATTTTGAAAACATTTTTCTTTTCATGCGTTTATCAGTATTTTACTGATATTTTGTATGTTGTACTTTAGATATAGCGTAGGGTTACAGATTTAAAGACATCACTATTACATAGAAAAGATAACAGCAATAATAAAAAGAAAAAAGACAGACAGCACAAATAACCAATAATCGACTACTCCGATAAAATAACGGACATGCAAACAAGGACAACCAACAACGAACAACACACGGGCTAGATAGCCTGCATTGGTACATGCGCAAACGGAGTCTAGGTTAAACCAGTTTTAGGTGCTCACAAACCTCTCATTTTACCTGTGTAGACCGTCTGTTGTAAAACTAAACCATTCAGTAAAACCCAGCGGAGTGGAGTTACCTACAGGACGACCAATAACTTCAAAAAAGAATAAAAAGACGGTACAAAAGTGGAAAGCTTGTTCAAAATGTGCTTACAAATACAGGAAGCTGGCTAAGTAGCTACAAAGCTGTTGGTTGGATATTGCGGCGCTGAAGAAAACAAAGTTAACAGTAACCTTTGTGGAATTTCAGGAAACTTTAACAGAAGCATTTTCTTAATCACGAGATACCCGGCATATAGAATAAATTTAGATCCCCCTTTTTAATTATAAATGTTCTTATACTTTTCTGATGTTTTTGCACTTAGGCGTACATTCTGTTGTTAAAGATTTTAAAAATGGATTAACTTTTTCAAACCTTTATCGAATTTAACAAAACTTGGATAGAAGTTTCTTCACAATCTATTTTTGCAGTCAATATTACACTTTTACACTGACAGCAGCATTAGCAGGCGAGACACGGGAGTAGATGGAACCCATTTCCAATTTTAGAATTTTGCACTGAAGGACAATCGAAACCAATCATTTTATTTGGTTTTGAAAGACACTTGCACATTTTTGGCTTTTGCATCATGGTTGCTATTCGTTCTTGAAATAGCTTCCCATAATTTGTCAAAATATAGAACAAGTACTTTTTGCCGTCGATAGGTATTTTTTAATTTAACTTCATTTTTGAAAAATTTGATTTTTAATTCGCCCCTTGACATCTTGTCTCCCTTTTTATGACATAATGTTGCAAACAAATTTAAGTAAACATATGAAGTGTTTTGTGGATTTTTGTCAGTCTGGTTTTTCTTTGACCATGGTGTTGTCTGTATACCATTTACTTGTTTGACTGTGGTGTTGTCTCTATATCATTGACTTGTTTGACAATGGTGTTGTCTGTATATCATTGACTTCTTTGACCATGGTGTTGTCTGTATACCATTGACTTGTTTGACCATGGTGTTGTCTGTATACCATTGACTTGTTTGACCATGGCGTTGTCTGTATACCATTGACTTGTTTGACCATGGTGTTGTCTGTATACCATTGACTTGTTTGACCATGGTGTTGTCTGTATATCATTGACTTCTTTGACAATGGTGTTGTCTGTATACCATTGACTTGTTTGACCATGGTGTTGTCTGTATATCATTGACTTCTTTGACCATGGTGTTGTCTGTATATCATTGACTTCTTTGACCATGGTGTTGTCTGTATATCATTGACATGTTTGACCATGGTGTTGTCTGTATATCATTGACTTCTTTGACCATGGTGTTGTCTGTATATCATTGACTTGTCTGACCATGGTGTTGTCTGTATATCATTGACTTGTTTGACCATGGTGTTGTCTGTATATCAATGACTTTTAGTTTTTGCTATATATTTCATATAAAACACATTTGTTCCAACAAACAATATCTTGAATGCATTTACTATTGTATTTAAAAAAAAACAGGTGTTTATTTGGTCATAGTTGTGTCGTCCTAAAATACTTGTGTTTACATATCACCAGAAAATAAAAACCCTTCATAATAAAAATCTAATCAAATAAACTTGTGACAATTCTACTTCTATTGGTACCAGAACCACACAATATCTTTTTGAAAAAATTAATTCTATAGTTGCTTACAATGACCCACTTCTTTTGAACTCTGGTGGATAGTTGTCTCATTTGGAATCATACCACATCTCATTATTTTCATATATGACGTTTGGTCCGTAAAAACTGATGACGGATGGTTCCTTGTATAGGAAAGGTAAAAATCATGGGACCGAGTATATGACGTTTGGGTCCGTAAAAACTGACTTATGTGGCCGGGCAAATGGCAAAGCAAAAGAATGTACAAATACTTATATAACATAAAATTGTATTATCTTCATTCATATGCACTCATTCTCTTATGCAATGCCGACATTGTCAATCTCTATCTTTCTCTCTAATATCTTTTAAATCTTATTCTCTACTCAGAAAAAAAATGAGGCGTCAAGTTATAAATATATATTTGTCACGGTTTAGTGTACATGATAAATACCCGTTATTCGTGCATCTGACAACCAGAATATACCAGGACTATTGTTACTTAGTTGAACTTTGACCTTGTTTTGACCATGAACACATATATGTTTGGGAATAGAAAACGATTGTTCCCTAAATGCCATATCATTGCTTAATCCTGCATAGTCCATTAAGACAGGAAAGTCGTTTACAAGTATGTCAATGAGACCATAATAATGTTGTCCTGTGCAACCATTCAGTCCTAAATGTATTTCTTGTAGAAAGTCCAAATCTATGATACTGAAAATAATTTCCACGCTACTTCTCATTGGATAGTGTAAGAGTTTATATGGCATTCCAGGTCTGTATTGGTCAGTTGTCTCCGTACACTGGAAACAAACATTATCGTATGTTTGGTTAAAGTCTAGAAATATACAGGAACTTTGTATACCTACAAAATATTATTTGAAAATATATTAGTTGTACGTTATTGTAATTAGATAGATTGTTTAACATTCTCAATTTTTTTTATAACGTAAAGATGAAATGCACATCTAACTCATTTTAGACCTTATGTTTTTATTAACACCACTTAATTGGAAGCTTTTTAATTCATCCCTGCATGGTTCTAGTTGGTGAATATCTCTTGTAATTGTTTGTGTTTTTAACTAAATTGTACGTGTGTTCTCAAGATTGTCTGTGTTTTTGTGATTGTATTTGTGTTTTGAGATTGTTTGTCTCGTGTGATTATTTGTATGTCTTGTTTTAATTCATCACATTGTTTATTCTTAGTCTTCTTTGTCGTTTTCGATACAGGACGAACTTCAACCCCCCCCCCCCCCCCCCCCAAACAAAACATTTTCTCATATCGTTTATTTTCATGAAGATAATTAGACAAAAAAAAACCGCCAATCTTGTATAATACAGACATAATATTGATAACATTAACTTCGAAATTTAATGACGACTTTTTGCAATCGTAAATTGGAACAGCTCCACCTCAAGGAAACAGACTCCTGAATATGCAAGAAATATTTGCCATTGGACGTTTAGCAACCAACAATCAATCATACTATTGTAGTACACCATAGAAAATATTTGTGCTAAAAATGACAAAAATAGCGAAAACATGCGAAAATAAGAGCCTTTTTGGAATTGCGCAGAGTTGAAGTTAATAGATGCCCGACTTTTAAGCAGAGAATAGTTGCTGCCAATGTTCTTTGTTTTGTTCTTTTCATAGCCAGATCTGCATACATCATTATGCATTAATATTCAGATTAGGCAAATACTAGTGCAACAGAAGCATTTTTTAAAATATAATATACAAGAGATATTAAGTTAACTAATAATAAGTATACAAAATATATATATAATGATGATAAAAATACTATTAAAACTTACTGAGGCACAGTGAGTCGTACGTTCGGCGATATTTAGTTGAAGACGGATCATGTCTTTGTTCGTTGAAACTCCTTTTTCGTGAATTTGTTTCAATTTCTGTGAATTCCCTGAAAAGAAAATCGAAGTGTATCGACTTGTTAACTTATAATATCACATGTAAAATGTAGCTCAGTGCTGAAACTGACCTCAGAACCCAAACAATTTATATATATTTCACAAATAAAACCTTTAATTCGAGTATTTCAGCCAGTCCTCCGATTGGTGTTAGATCCAGTCCCTACCCAAATACATTATCAATCAATTGAATTCAATTTGTAGGTCCACTTTGGTGTGAGCCAATGCTCCGTCCGTGTTGAAGGCCGTACATTGACCTATAATGGTTTACTTTTATAAATTGTTACTTGGATGGAGAGTTGTCTCATTGGCACTCATACCACATCTTCCTATATCTATATATGCATGGTTGACGTTATATACTACATTGTCCCTCTAGGAAACTTAACTACGACGGAGTCAATTAACATTAAAGAAAAAAAGGCAGACTGAGACTCTGGGAGATGAATTAACTTTACATTCCCGTTGGGATTGCAAAAAAATTGTTGACATCAGGGCTGGCCTTTATCCTTTGTGTAAATACAATAGCAAAGAACAACAAAATGATCGCTAAACAACCATGTGTCAAACGGAAAGTACCATTACTATGGCATTCATCCAGCATGTGATGGATACGTTATGATGAAAAGTTTGTCCTAAAAACAAAAGCCTGAGATGACTAAGCACAAAAGAGGCATATAGTTAATCCCCCCTTTTTTAAACACAGACACACAACAAATACATACCCACCTTATTATAACTGACAGAATGTCTTATACTAGTATTTGTTTGTTCGTGTATCAGATACTAATTTGCAAGTCTTATCTACAAATTTACATGGATGATATAGAATTTACTTTATATCCAACCAATTGTCCAAAATACGCTTGGTCAGTGTCACCATACTGAAATTGGCAAGAACATAACTTACATTATATGCTGTTTCTTTATAGGTCTAAAAGGAAGTTGTAAATTGAACATGATAGTCACGCTATTTTTATTCACGGAAACAAAATGAACAAATACATAACTTACATATTATTGGGAAAATAGAGGTCGTTGCTATAGACGCTATATAACTTTCCTCCGATTATTTTCAGAAATAGTCGAACAAAATAAACTGATGTGATTCAAGTCGTCTTGTTCAAAGTTGAATGTTTATAAAATCTTCACGAGATTTAAAGTAAAATTAAAATGTGTAAACCAATTGAAGCGATTTGTTTACATTTAAACTAAAATCAATAACAAATACACAATTTATAGAATTTAAAAGCGCATGCGTCCATAGCCCATAAATATGTTTTAAAAAATGTCATTCTTGTTCTATGAAAAATAATGTTGTTTTCAGCAGATTTCAAATAATGCAAAAAATTCTGTGAAATGAATTAGTAGAAGGAAATTTCATTCGCAACAGAAATCATCATCACCATCGTAAATTTTGTTTTCATACATTTCTAGAATACGGGATACGGTTAAGACTACTCTTTGTTTTGTGACGATTCATTTTAAAATTTCAATTTTATATATCACTTAATACCTAAAAACGAAATACTTTAACTATTATTCTCCAAAGTTAAATTTTACCCCATTATAATTTTACAGTGCAATTGGGAAAAGAAGTGACTATATAATATATATATAAATGGCATGTTCCCAAGTTTTCAGAGCCGGAATTTTCAAAATATCTCATGTGCTCCGTTTTCATCATAACATAAGAATATAACAACGATTGTCATTAGAAATTGATCCAAAGAAAACCTAAATAAATGAAATTGGCAGAACCGGTTTGATTTACAGTACCCCCTTTTTTTCCACCCCGGCACGAATGTTGTATCCGTTCTTGGTACTGTTAAAATGGTTGACAGCACAAAAATAAGACACAATGATCTTTCTTACAAACGTTGTCAATTTGTACAATAAAAGATAGACAAAAAATTTGGATAGTAGCCATAAACATATATCTTAAAACAATGGAATTATGACACTAATCAACGATAAATTTGATTAATTAACAATAGTTCTTTACATAGTCACAAAGTATAAAACCGGAACCCAAAACCCCTTAACTGAGGAATATTAAAAATAATAACGTAGTCAGCAATTAATATTTAATGTTATAATATGATAATGAAGACTAGATCTTAAACAAAATAAAAAGGTGAGTTGTTTACTTTAATTGATTATATGTCGGTTTGTTTTTAAATTGTTCACTTTAAAAGTGCCTGTCATTCAAAATCCGTATTTTACTTTTCTTGTCTTTAGGACTTTTCGTGTACCGTTTTGCCAAAAAATATATATCTCATTGACACTTCACATATACATTATGCAACATGTCATCCTTTAGCTCATAAAAGTGATAAAATAATCTCAATAGAAAATTCATTTCGAATTTTCAATGGAATATCTCCGCATAGCACACACATATATATATAAATACGTATCAAAAAATAATATAAAAAGAATAGTCGAAATCATGATGCACCAGCACTCGCCATTCAGTTTAACAACCTTTCATTCATAGACACTGGGCATAAAGCAAACAACAATCAATCAATCTCATTCATACGTCAAACCATGGGAGTATTTTTCAGGGGAAGATATAGCTTTACATGTGCTTATTATACCAAATTCTAGCATATATATTAGCTAATTACAAGCATATTTTTGTCTTAGCCACATATAAACAACATGATTCCAAGAAACAAATCCTATGTCTATAGTTAAACTTCGTATACAGACCATGGCATTTCTTATCGATCAGAATAAAATCAGACTCTGAAGACATTTTAGAATTTGACCTACTTCCAGCTGTAGTATTTGTTTCATATATACATATACGGGCATTGTCCTATATTCAACCGTTTGGTTAAATATATCTTACCAGGGTGAAACCAACAATAGTTTAATGGGTATGATTTTTAAGGACTTCTCACAAAGGTTGTTTCAGATAAGATTAGGGGCTCGTCATTTGTGGCCATTGCAAATCCACAGTTCTAAAGAAAAATTCATTATAATGACAATCAAAGCCTTACACTCATCATTTAAGTCTTATGACCAAAAGATGTTGGTGGGGGGTGGGGGTTTAGGGGATGGGTGGAGGAAGCGGTTCATATCAAATTACTATACTTTCATTTTTGTACTGAAATAGTGATTCTAGACTCAGCTCATAGCTTCTTGATGAACTAGGGACTCGGCTAGAAAATAACAAATCTAGTCATTTAGTCTTTCTAATTTTCGGTGTAGGTCTCAATGAATCATTTTAGTGAGAACTTTGCAGTTTTACTCACAAATTAGGATTTTTTCTGTAACATTGGTGTAAGACAGTATTTCACTTTTCAGTTTCACTCATTTTCATGCTATTCACATAATGCACACATTCTTCATTTGAAAGCTATAGGTCAATGGCATCCAGAAAAAGTGCACCTTTCGGGTTTCTCGATTCATCATCCGGATCACTCAGCAGCATAAGTACAGGTATATTGCTCCATTTTACTAACATTCAAAATTTTAACAATAAATTTCTGTATGGACGAACTTCTGTCCGTTTGGTTTCCTGTCATTTGAACATATAATAGCTTCTCACAGCATGGCTTACTAATGTTGTCTCAACCTCATTTTCCCATATCATCTAACCACAGGCACTTGTCTCTGAACAAAAATTACCTATATACTGCTACATTAGAGTATATAGTTTTTTTTTCAGAGACAAGTGCCTTTGCAGCTAACAGAATATTCGTTCATATTAATTGCGCCTTTCCAATATCATCTAACACAATGTTCGTTCATATTAACTGCTCGATACATGTACATGTATTCTAATTTCGTGTTACTAAAACGTTCTTATGCATGGCTCAAAGTTAACGCGTGAATATGTCAAGCTTAAGACAGCAACCGAACAACACAAAACACCAAAACAGACTTTTATCTTCGTCATTTTGTCTCTGGTTGATATTTGTCTCATTGGCAATCATGAGGGTAGGAATACCCTTTACCGTCAGGCGTCAAAAGCTCATTTTCAGCTACCGTTAGCCTCAAATTGATTAAATCGTCTGAGGTCTCAAATAGTTATCGTTACCGTTATTTGTGGAAAAAAATTAACGTGATTCGTCAAAATCAGTCGATTTTTTTTATCGTCTAAAAGAAAGTGTACATTTTATCGTCATGCACCAAAAATTACCGTTAACGTCATTTGGCAAGATTTTTTACCGTTATTCGTCATGAAGGGACCCCCATTACGTCCCTCAATCATACCACAGCTCCTTATTTTTATATTTTAGATTTCGCTTTACGGTTTTCAACAAAGATTAATTTAAAGCATTTTTAAGTGCTAAAGATCATTTTCGCTAACCAAGGACTACAATTCGGTCCCTCCTCTGATAAATGTGTGAATGAATCAAACAAATTTGCAATCAACAACAAAGTCTTTAAAAAATTGATTGATTGATAGAGTGTTACTTGCTTATCGTCCAGTAGCAAGTATTTCATGCATATTGAGGGCGAAAAACAATTCATTAATATAGAAAAGGTAGATGGACGACAGGGATAAGGGACGTGAAATTTCAACAGCCACTGGAAAACAATGGTATGTTGGATATGGAGAATTTTTCCTTGCGACATGCCATCAGCGGAATTCCTTAAAGGAGACTGAAAAACTGTAATACGTAACCAAAGACAATCACTGCCATGGCTACGTTTCTGATCGTTATAGTATATTTTGGTACTCAGTTCCTCTCTTCTTTTTTATATTCCAATCAATGGATCTATTCGTAGTTCTTGTCCTGTCCACTATGTAAAAGTCTGCCCTCCTGCAGATGAAGGTGCTGCTTATCTCGAAGTTTATACAAGAATTGAAAACGATTGTAATAATTTGATGCCTTTTTCTCATTTTTTTTCCTATAGAGTAATTAGTTTATAAACTAAAAAATACTCATCAATAATACCAGTTTGAAAATTATGTGTACAAGATGCACAAGGCAAGAGTCAATATAAGACTCGTCAGTGACGCTCGATTCAAAACGATTGGAAGGCCAAATCAAACGTAAAGTTAACGAGCATTAAACCGTGGAACTGAAAATTCCAAAATAATTCACTTAAAATGTATATATCTACGGCAATCATAAATAGATCACTCATATTTAAAAGAAACGCATATGTAAATTACCGTAAATTCAGAAAAGTTATGAGTTGTTATTATTGCGAAAATTGTGACGAGAAAGGTTTCACAAAAATAGAAACTCGAATTTAAAAAAATTTTAAGCATTATCTGCAGTATGCCTAATTTCTAGAAAAAGTAATAATCAATCTCGCATTTTTGTCCATTGTTCAACAATTGCGATAATATATACACGCAAACATTCTGAATTAACCGTTATTTAAAACAAAATACGGTAAAAAAAAAAGGCGGAAGATGCCGGCAAGGGGAGAATCAACGCTCATAATATGTCCAAGGGAGACCGACAAAATCATTGCAAAAAAACAAGGCAAACAGCGACGAAAAGACAAACAATAGTCTACAAAACACTTCATTAAAACTAAGAACAGAATAACACGAACCACGTGCACTAAAACTGAGGGTGATATTAGGAAATTAAAAATATTATGCTTTTACAGGGGACATCGGGAATCTTGAAATGGCCGACTTGTCATTTGATTCTCAGAATTCGTCAAGATTAGAGAGAAAAATGAATATTGATGACGAATTAAAAAGATGCGAAGATTCGTTACTTGAAGCACAGGAAACCAATGTAAAGTGTCAAGAAGCACACGAGACCATCGAACGTGTTCTGCTGCATTCTCAGGATTCCAAAGGAGCAGACATTTTTACCAGCCCCAGGGGAAGATGGTCATCAGCTAGACCAAGTATGAATATTTTTACCAAAAGTGTAGATAACATTGTTGATAATATATCAACAAGTATACCAATTTACATTAAAAAAAAGAACAAAATCCACTCCTTAATTACCTTTAATGGCTTTAATAAACTTTTGGAATCGAGCATACCTGATAAAGGTGACTCTTGAAATATCTAAGGTATCACTTCATTTGTAGTAAATATAATTTCTATTACTCATAAATTTTACCTAATCGGTTTGGCCTTGAAGCATACTTACAACGCTATATTTATTTAAGAAAACTTATCTTTAAAAAAATGAAAAGAAGATAACGCGTTGAGTGTAGAGCGTCTTTTAAACAAAATTCTGGATCCGTCCTTACTTCAATTAAATAGTCTGAGATATCTACAGTATCAAACGAAAGTGAAACACATAAGCCTAAATTTCATATGCAACTGTGCACCATGTATAAACAAAAAAATTATCAGCTTTTCAGATTGAATATCTTGACTGAATAATAAAACTTAATACAACAGTCTAAAAAATGATATCTAAATAACCTTTTTTCTAGAAACTGCACCCACATATGTCGATGAACGTGTGAATGGTGACCAACTCCTCGACGACGATGATGAATTTGACCTTGACACAAAAAAGACGACACTTCACGGCGCAGCAATTTGTGGGGACACGATTCTTATGGGTCAATTACTGAAAGTTGGAGCGAGGGTAAATTCGCAAGATAGCAACGGGAAAATACCGCTTCATTACGCAGCGGAGTATGGTCAACTTCCGGCTCTGCGCATTCTTCTCAAATCTGGTTCTATTGTTAACATGATCGATAACAGAATTAAGGCTCCACTATTTTATGCAGTGGAACATGGATACGTGGCAGCTGCCAAAGAGCTTATTGACAGAGGTGCATCCGTTAACTGCGCGGACAAACGTAAGAAGATGCCATTACACTGTGCCTCTGAAGACGGAAGGAAAATGATGGTGGACCTTCTCTTACGGACTGGAGCATCCGTGTATTCTATGGACTTCAATATGAAGGCACCAATCCACTATGCAGTAGAAAAGAATTACTTGCAGATCACTCAGACTCTCGTGATGCATGGTGCACCTGTAAATCAGAGTGACGGAAAACAGCGCAAACCACTCCACTATGCTGCAGAACTCGGCTATATCTCTATAATCGACTTCTTAGTCCAGCGAGGTGCGACGTTAGACGCTTTAGATTGTAATCTACGAACACCAATGTTCTTAGCCATTGAGCATGGTCATGATTTTATAGTCCATGCTTTGATGAATTACGGAGCCTCTGTCAAAACTGCAGACAGAAATCGTCAGACTCCTCTCCATGTCGCAGCTTGTAAAGGTTTGGTTGCCACTGCTAATGATCTAATCAGGAAAGGTTCTCGCCTAGATGTTCAGGATGATGAAGGAAAATCACCTTTATTTTATGCCGTAGAACAACGAGAGATTAGTATGGTGGACACTCTCTTAAAGTGTGGCGCCTCAGTTGATATGATAGACAACAGGGCCAATAGTCCTCTTCATTATGCTGCTGAAACAAAGGATACTGATCTCATGTATCTGCTAGCCCAACATGAACTCAAAACATCTAAAACCAAAAACGTTTACCGAAGAATTCTTGAAATAGCTATACGATATAACAATGATTATCTTGGACAGGTCGTATGGAACCGACTTCTGGATAAGTATACAGATGCAATCATAGCAAGCGATAGAACGTATCCTTATGACTTTGAATCCAGAGAAACCACTAACATTGTTAAAATACTTCTCCGTATGACCTGCGAGGCTTTTGGCAAAGTTCACAAGGAGAGGTTGTGGAAAGCCTGTCCTGAACTTCAAGATGGAAGCGGTGAACGACCACTGATTGTGGCATACGTTTTCTTGTGGCCACACACGAAGAAAAAGGTCTTCATGGGAATTCCAGTTGTGTACCGCATGTACAGTGCCACATCTGACAACGCTGCCGGGTATGACGAAGTGGATTCGCAGTTTAAAAAAGTATGAGAAATTAAACTGACAGGATTAACCGATCTCATGACAATGGTTGTAGCCATTTTTTTTGTTTATTTCATGCGACTCGTTGAAAAAAACATCGTTAAGTTTTGTAGTTTTTTTCGTAGTTGTTTATCATTAAAATTTGAATAAAAAAGACGATAATACTTTTTATTCCAAAAGCAAATACGGCTTATAGGATACATACATATAACGATAAAAATTTTATATGCACCGATAATAAGAACTTTTACAAATATTTTTTAGATACACAATATATAAGTATAAAAGTGTACATGAAATACAATATAATACATAATAAAAAAATACAAAATACGAAGTACGAGCGGAGAATGAAGGATTAAAAAGACCGCGACATATAAGCTTTAGTCCCGCCATGACATTTCCAGTCTTAGGGAGGTAGAACGTCAAGAAAAACGCCGTCAACTTTATGTGCATGACTAGCCATGATTTCCAGGCTTATGGGGTACCTTGTCTAAAATTTGCTTTTTGTATATTTATCTAGAACATGCCGAAATAAAACACTCTGTCATGTTAGTATGACCTATTTGTTTGAATATCGGCATAATGAGACAATTTGATGACAACTTTTTATTATCATAAAATACAAAACTATTGGTTTTTATTGGGGCTTAGTAATCTCCAACAGCTTATTTCAAATGAATTACATTTACTACAATACAAACAATTCTTAGCTCTCTTTTAGAAAATGTAATTTAAATTTGTCTTTTAACTTAGATTTATGATGCATGTCTCTACACCAAATAGCATGCGAAGCGTAACAGTTAATAAGTAGCTGTTCTCGGCTATGCATTTGATACGGTGCATTTATTTATATTTAATACTCCATTTATGAAAATCTACGATGCAAACCTATTTTACGACATCTTTGGACTTTTATGATAAATACTAAGTGTCTGGTCTTTTCTGTTTACTTATCTGTGGAGTATATATTCACGTCAATCGCTTTATACCAACCGACTGCCCCTTTGACAATAATGAACTTTTGAGTTTGCCTTTTAATAAGGGACTTTCCGTTTTGAATTTTTGTTCTCCCTAGTATAGATAAATGTATTTTATTTCTTTAAACATATTTAAGGATGTTCTTAGGTCAGGTTTAGGAATGTGTGTCAGATGTTCGGACTTATTGGTTTTTTTCCTACGATACAGGGTAAAATATTTTGCCCCATAAGACACATTTTTCTTTTCATATAAGACTTCAATAGCTCATAAAAGGTCATTTCTCAAAATTTAAGCAGATTCTAGATTTATTTATTTTTTTCGATTTGAGACCCAAAATTTGAGACCCAAAATTTGAGACCCAAATAATGCCAATGCAAATATAAGGTAAAAGTCAGAGTCAGCCTTTTCCCGCTATTTTTTTTAAAATTAAATATCTCGAAAAGGAGCTCCATAACCTATCAATATTTTTATCCTTATTTTAGACGCATGCATTTTATGAAACCTTCAATATTTTACAGTTCGTGACAAATTTATGTAGACAAAAGCGTTGCAAATGATATATGATTGGAGGGGGTATCAAGTGGATGTTTTTGTTTCCGCTTTCCCGATGTTGTAATAAGCATTATTGTTAATAATCTGCATTACAACTTCTCCGTATCTACATAGTTTTGGTCCAAAATTAGAGGATACTTTGATTTCAGAGAATTGGTACGGTCAAATAATGATTACAAGACTTGGTACAATAGCTGTTAAGTGTTTTTAAGTACTTAATGTTTTAGGACAAATTCAAAATCAAATCTTTCTTGCCATTACACTTAATAAAGCATGTGACAAAACACAAAATGTGTCTTTCTAAACCTTGTCTGGAACTGTGAAGTTTATGTTAATTAAAATTTTTAAAGGCATGACCCCTTAGAGCCAAACGAACTCTGATTGCGGTTGAGCAGGGAAACTGGAACCAGTATCTTTACCAACGGGTTATCTCAGGAATATTACTTTAATAGAAAAGAAATGATATGGGGTATCCATCCATGACACAAAATCAGTACATACACAGCAAAAGACACAATAAGCGAAAAAAACAACGCTTTTATTGCTGTTCTTAATTTTAAATTTACAGTGAGACCTTCAAAAAACGCAGTCAAAAAAAAACCAACCCCAAACTCTTGTACATTTGTACCTGATGAAATTTGTTGGATTAATATATTGTCACTTTTTTTTGTAAGTGAAACTCATAAAGTCAGTATTTCGAGAAACAATTTTCGAGAAGTAACTATCTCCAGATTTTGATCACATATTCTAAATTTCGTAATAAGTATACGAAATTCATAGTTTGAATAACACAGTGTTATAGTAGTCTCAGTTTGAATGTGTTAAGTAAAACGTCTCTCCCAGTATCTATTTTTAGTTTCTTGTAGAGAAAAGGTTAATTTTTTGCATTCTAATATTCTGCATAACACAATAACGTACGAACATACCAGTAACATACTGCATCTGACCTTGACCTTGACCTCATTTTCATTGTTTATTGGTCAATGTTAAGTTTCCCTGGTTAAGACTGTTTCTTAATAAGGTCAACTATATATGATAGAAAAACAAAGGCGATGGGGTATCCATCTATGACACAAAATCAGTACATGCACAGCAAAAAGCAAAGGAACAGCGCTTTATTTCTGTTCTTCATCTCAAAGTGACGGTGAAGCCTTCAACACGGAACAAAAAACTCTCACCTCACTGCAAGTTTAAGACGGCCCCTAGCACCGGTTTGAGTGGAATTATTTGCAAAAGAATCGGATAGAAATCGGGCCTGGTCAAAACAGAACATAGAGGAAAGTAGTACATATCAAAAACAAAATAGTTCCTACGCATAGGTGTTAATGATGTATGAAATGAATTAAGGTGTACATATCTATGGCAGGGTTCATCTGACATTGACCTCATTTTCATAGGTCAATATCCAGTATTCATGAATTGGCCAGTTTTTTGTTAACTAAGTAAAATTGAGAATGGAAATTGGTAATATGTCAAAGATACAACAACCCGGCCGAAGAGCAGATAACAGCCGAAGAGCAGATAACAGCCGAAGGCCACCAATGGGTCTTCAACGCAGCGAGAAAATCCCGCACCCGGAGGTGGTCCTCAGCTGGCTAAATCTCTTTAGTGTACATACTGAAGAGCTATAAGTCAACTATATTTTGTGTATGTAATGATTGTAAGCTGTACATGTCTTTCTGGCTTGCTTTATCTGTCCATGACCCAAGACTATCAACATAAAATAAATTATGAATAGTAAAGCTATAGGCCAGACAGTGTTTGGTGTTTGGGTTCCTTGCAATGTGTACATGTCTATCAGACAGAGCTCACCTGACCTCGACCTCATTTTATGGATCAATGATCAAGGTTAAATTTTCATGATTAGGTCCGTTTCTCAAATACTATAAGCAGTAAGTCAACTATATTTGGTGTATGAAATGATTTTAATGGGTACATGTCAGTCTGGCAGGTTTCATCTGACCTTGACGTCATTTTCATGGTTTATTGGTCAGTGTTAAGTGTTTGTGTTTTTGTCTGTTTTTCAACAAGAAATGATTGTAACAGGATGCTGTTACGAAGTCTCCCAAACGAAGCTCCCATAATTCGTAATTCCCAGGGTCGCCTGACACTGGGCAAAGTCCAGTGAAAATTGGTTTGGTCCAGTAAAGTTATATGCATTAGTGATGCCTGGGGACTAACCCTGTATATCATTCAAATCATCTTGGCATGACAAACCAGAATATATATGGTTTAGGGGTGGGGATCTCAACCATTTACAAGATATTAGAACTTTCTCAAATGGCAGGGGGTCGGGATGACCCCTGGGGACTAACCCTGTATATCATTCAAACCATCTTAGCATGACAAACCAGAATATATATGGTTTAGGGGTGGTGATCTTGACCACTTACAAGATATTAGAACTTTCTTAAATGGCAGGGGGTGGGGGTGACCCCTGGGGACTAACCCTGTATTTCATTTGATGTGCTTTATCATGACAAATCAGAATATATATGGTTTATGGGTGGGGATCTCGACCATTTACAGATATTAGAACTTTCTCCAATGGCAGTGGGTCGGGATGACCCCTGGGGACTAACCCTGTATATCATTCAAACCATCTTAGCATCACAAACCAGAATATATATGGTTTAGGGGTGGGGATCTTGACCACTTACAAGATATTAGAACTTTCTTAATCGGCAGGGGGTGGAGTGACCCCTGGGGACTAACCCTGTTATACATTTGATGTGCTTTATCATGACAAACCAGAATATATATGGTTTAGGGGTGGGGATCTCGACCATTTACAAGATATTAGAACTTTCTCAAATGGCAGGGGGTCGGGATGACCCCTGGGGACTAACCCTAATATCATTCAAACCATCTTAGCATGACAAACCAAAATATATATGGTTTAGGGGTGGGGATCTTGACCACTTACAAGGTATTAGAACTTTTTTAAATGGCAGGGGGTGGGGGTGACCCCTGGGGACTAACCCTGTATTTCATTTAATGGGCTTTATCATTTAGAACATTTTCAATTAAAAAGATTGTGTCTATCACAAACGGTTTTCAATTTATACTCATTTGAAAATTTTTTTAAAATAAAATCCCATAGGGTTCTATAGTAAAACCCTCTTTTCTTTTTGCCCCTCAAAGTACCTCTTTATAAACCCCATTGCACAAACAAAACCCTGATTGCACCACTAGACATGTTAGTCTAACATATTGTGAAACCCTAAGTTAATCTGACAAGCGGTTTTGGAAACGGGTGCGGACAAGTTCAGATTTAAAAGCGGAGACTTAATTACCATAAGCCATAGGTCAACTATATTTGGTGTATGGAATGATTATAAGGTGTGCATGTCTGCTTTGTAGGTATCATCTGACCTTGACCTCATTTCTATGGTTAAATGGTCAATGTTAAGTTTTTGTGTTTTGGTCTGTTTTTGAAATACTAATAGCAATAGGTCAGCTATATTTGGTGTACGGAATAATTGTAAGGTGCACATGTCTCTCTGGCAGGTATAATCTGACCTTGAATTCATTTTCATGGTTCATTGGTCTGTTTTTTTTCAATTAGCATAAGCAATAGGTCAGCTATATTTGGTGTATAAAAAAAAATGTAAGGTGTTTAT